CTGGAGTCTTAAAAAATGAAATTATATATTTTAACTTGAACTTATACACGATAGCATAGTGAAAAGTTTGTCGTATCTCGTACTCGGTTCGATTATGCTGTTATAGTTCATTCCTACAATATTTTTTGATAAACACGCTCGTTTTCCTACAGTGTACTAAAACACTCTAGGTAAAGCAAGCACTATTGATGTCAGAAATGTGTATGTTGATATTAGATCTACACGTGTATTTCACACAGAAAACGCGTACTCGAACTCTTGGCACTTTATATTCGTTGTGATTCTACTTCTGACACTTGTATTGATAAAGAAACGAAGATTTCTAAAGTTAGAGAGTAAACTCTAAAATGCATGAATTATCATTAGACTACGGGTTTTTATGAAATGATTTAAAATATGGTGCACGTAATGATACAACACTTCGATCAAACTCGTGTTCGTTCATTCATATCGTTTATCACTGTTAGTAGTTTCGTACTGTTACACGTACGAGTGTCGGTACGATGAACACGCATTCGATCGAAATGGACCGAAATGCACCCGCTCATTTGATTTAAACGCGCCAATGCTATTCTCGTATTCAACGATACTATTTTCTCTAAAAGTACGAGTTTTTCCCAAAAATAAAAATTTACACCAGTGATTAATCCAACGAATCTAATCGTCGTGTAACCACTTCGGGAGAAAACACCAGAGGAATCATCCAACACTTTCGAATCATTGCTCGATATTTCAATTCACCGATAGTTCACCGTGTGTATTAACTGTGTAATAACGAAAGAAGCCGGGTGAAAGGAAATCGGGGCATTGTTCCTGCCAGGAACTGACTCGCGGTCGAGTTCATATTTCTGTAGGTGGCCGGATGCCAAGAATGTATCGGCGCTTGTTCGTTATTGCGCCCGAAACTATTCGAATTTTAACGACGCTGCTCGTTTGCCAGCGGCCAGGCATAACGGACGTATCTGCGAACGATTAGATAAGGAGACAAATCGGCGAATATCCGTCAGCAGAGGGGGGGGGAGGGGAGAAGGGTTCTGTTGCTTGGACAAGCTTGGACAACGTAACTCGCACGCCATAGTATAATTCGGCCGGCCGGTTATCGCCCTTCGTAGATCAGAACGCGCTCAATGCAACAAACGTTGCGCACAATGCACGTGGACGACTTGGATTTATCGACGTGCCAGAAATTGTGTTTCCCTCGGTTTCGTCCTTTGGATACCTTTGCGGCCGTCTCCCGACTCTCAACTGTTCGAGATTACATTCATCCTTCGTGTTTCATTCGCACAGAGAGAGAGAGAGAGAGAGCGAGAGAGAGACGAGGAGTTTGCGGCTTCGTGGAACTCGCTAACGAATTCCCGAATCGAACGAAACGAAACGCTGGGGCGAGATGCTGGATTGATATTGTTGGACGGGATATCGGACGGGTCGGAGGCACGAGATATTTGATCCGCTACAGACTCGGGAATTTATGTTTTCGTAGGTGCGGAAATTGGAGAGAAATCTCTTTTTAACCTCTTGCGCTGGAATGACGTGCCACGCACGTCGAGAACTTTTTGTCCCAAAATTGCAATACTTTCTTTCAGTTTTAAGTATATATATTTAAATATAACTCAGACAAAATAAAGTAATAAATTTATTACTTCTTAATAATTTTTATCTGCAGTGATCTCATACCGACGAGTTCGAAAAGAAAGCGACGAATTACTGTATACGGTTTGGTCACTCGTTATGGTTCGCAATCAGTTGCCAGCGCAAGAAGTTAGTAGATCAAAGATATTGCGACGAGTGCTTTACCGTTCAGAAATTTCGACCACTTCTATTAATTTCTTACTCAAGAAATAAAACACAATGAAATCCTGAATAGTATTACAAATTTTCTTCAAAAATATTATCTTACATGCCGAAGAATATTTCGTACTACATTTCTTCATTCTCAGATTTCGTGCAAACGTACAAAAATCTTTTCGCAATCTGCCAATAATAATATCCTATATGCAACTACAAATCATCATGTAATGAACTGATCTGCAAAACAATTTCAATTCGTGCAATTTGATTTCCAAGAGCGAAAAACAAACGGTGGCAAACTCTCTTTTTTTCATTGATATTTTAATCCGGCTGTAACGAGAAAAATTCAGCGCTCGCGCTGTTCCGATTTAATTGTTGTTCAATTTTCAAACGGAATGCAATTATTCGCGAGAAGATCTTGAGGAGCGAACGCTAACGTTTAAATAACGAACAGATTTTAAATCCTTTGAAATACATATACACGTATTCTCTCACAACAGCCTCTAAGTAGTTGCGGCACGTGCGGTTCAGACAGGTGCGCTCGCGAAATCCAGTTAAAATACTTTGGGAGTTTATCGTTGATTTACGCGTTCGATCGAACGGGTTTCGGTTTGTTATTAACATCTTAACGATGGATCAAGTTAGAGTATTTTCATTCGAGTAATCTCTACGCGCGAAATACATTTTTAAATTCAATCAACAAGCCAAATTTTCAGGAATTTTTAGAGTCACGATTACTACGGATTTGCACATTATGAATTAACCTAATACTATAGATTGATGCTTGTATAATTACTCTATCACCGATTGTAACTAAGCTTCCATTTCTGTATTTGTTAGTGGCTATGATTTTGATTTCAATAAACTATAAAACAGGTAACTACAGACCGCCAGAATATAATTGGAAAAATAACATTTTGTTAGAAAATGGCTTTACACGATCAACATTTTAGAAAGCACTGTACTTTATATTTTCTTCGGTGTTACGTGCAATTTCGCAAGGCTTCCACTTACGACGTAAAATTTTAACCTACAAGAGTTTCCATAATGTTGTTGTATCGTGTCAGTTTCAACGTCTATAGCTGAAGGGTTAAACAAGAGTTCGTTTAGGAAAGCGAAAAGCAGCAGAAAGGAATTTTTTAGCTTGTAGCAAAGAACAAAAAACCGTTTCTTTTTTTCATTTCTTTTTTCTCTCTCTCTCTTTTTTTTTTTTTTTTTGAAACGAACCTCGCATTATGAAGCACCGAAATGGTGTCAGCGGCATGCGTAACAATACGTCTGTGCGATGGTTGGCCCAGATTAACACGAACGCGAGGAATTCTTGCGCGCAACGTGGATATCGTGCGGATATGAGTTATGAAATTTTTCCGCCGAGTACGCACCAGCGATGGATTTATATTTAGCATTCCCATTGTGTATTATAGTTGCGATTTAATTTATGGGAGTATGCACAACCGTGGCACAACGGAATGAATTGTATCTCTACGGAGATTCTTACGGTTAATAACACTCGAGCGATAGCACGAATATTCGGTATACTAAAATAAAATGGTATTGTTATACCTTGGGATAGTTAACATATTTTGTATAATGGATACGGAGAGCAAGAGAATATTTGTATCTAGAAAGTATCTGGTTAAATTATGGTACAGAGAAATGATTCCTTGCGAAGATTATAAGTAAGATATAAGTAAGATATATAGAATGAGATTTTATTTATTACTCCAGTTCAGTTTTCGTGAAAAATAATTTCAATTGTTATATTGTAGCTGGAATACGGGGACTAGGAAAATTGACGACGATAATGAAAAGTTGTATAAAATATTCAAAAATATTCAAAATATAATATTTCGTAATATGTTGTAGATTTGAAATTGAATCAACTTGGACGTTTGTTTTAAGTTCTCATAAAATCATAACAATATATTGCTCATTCATTTTTATTCTCGTAGACGTATGTCATCTAAAAAAAAACCGCAGTTTGAAGAAAAGATTAACTTTTATCGTAAAATATAAAATAAAATATAAAATACTGTAATATATTGATAAAAAACACTATAACAGAAAAAGAAACAATCTTTAGTTAAATCTGTAATAGTCAACTTTAAAATTAATCTCTAGATATTCCCTGCTTACAATGTTCTTGAAAATGCTACTGTAGAGTTTTAACATACACAGAATATAATCATAATTTAAATTAATTCGCATCTCTCGAAAGACTGTAGACAAATATGAAATGGTGAATAAAATTTCATAAAAGTAAAATACTTTAATCCAAGTCATTTAAGATTTTCGCGAAGTGCTATATATTTTTGTACCTCCTAATATGTAAAAGCAAGCGGAACTCGTGTCAGGAGCTGAGTCAGGATAATCCACTCCTCCGAGATCATTTTTCTGACACGTCACGGATCGAAAACGAAAACTTTTTCCCACGCCGAAATCACAAATACTTAAAACAGACTAAAAATAAACTGGTCATTAGGGGAGTCACTGCGCCACTTTATCCCTTTTGCCTATCGATCCGTCCTTTCCTACAATTTTCGACGTAATATTTGAGGGATGGGTCTGTCGAGTCATTCCCAAGACGATAACACGTCAAACACGATCCTCTGTTCCTATTCCCCGTATTCTAACGCGCGAAATCAGATTTCCGATAAAAGTCAGGGAGTCAGAAATATTTATAAATATTCAAAGTGCACCGCATCGGATTGATTAAATCAAAGTTAATATTCTGAATGTTGTAAATATTATATAACTGCTATGAAAAGTATTTTGCACATCAATGCAGACATCAGTTCCATCGAAGAAATAATTATTTTCCAAATCATTTTGAATTTTAAATTTTCTTGTTACTTCAAAAATTCATCTCCATTTATTTTCCTACCGACACAGGTAACAGCAGTATACACGTCTGATACATACCTGTGTAAGTTCATTTTTTTTTACAACGCCGCGTCGCCTCGTTACGTAACAAATATTTATAAACCAAGGAGGGTAGTTCAACGTTCGATATCACTGTCGCGCGACGTTCACCCTTTATGAATTTCACACTATTTCTACTCTCGAGACCCGCCGGGCTCATTCATTCCTATCATAGCCTTTCATACGTCCTACGCGCGCAAGTAAATATATCCTGCGACGCGTTACTCGCCGCGGAACAATCGCGGAGTTCGTTATTACCTGACCCTGAGCGACAAAGAAAACTCATTTACCTTGGCGTCCCGGCTCTTCATCTCCTGCCTTCTGGGCACCGTGTTCTCCCCGTCGGCGTACACCAGGTTCCTGATGAACCCGTTGAACCTCGGCTCGAAGATCACGCTCGGCAGCGCCAGCAACGTCAGCTTGCTGTTGTACCAGCTAGGCATACCGCCCACGTAAACGTCGGAGTTGCCTGACAGTTTACCAAACTCGAACTCCTTGCCACGTGACGTGGATACCGCGCTGACACCGTCCACCGTCAACGTGGTGTTCTCGTTGCACCTGGTGATCTGCACCTTGTGCCAGTGGCCGTCGCCGAGGTCGTGGCCGACGGTGACGATCTGCGCACCGCCGCCGAGGTTGTATCTCAGTCGGAGCGCGCTCTCGACCAGCTTCACCTCGAAGAAGTCGTACGTGCCACCGTCGTCGGTGTAGAGCAGCAGACCGTTCCCCTGCTCGGTCTTGAACTCGAACTCCAGCGTGCCGTTCAGCCCGGCGTTCCATTTTCTGAACTGCGCGTAACTAGTCGTCGAACCTTCCAACACGAACGACATGGCCACTTGGCCGAGCAACACCACCAGGAACGGCAGCAGCGCGCCTACGTTGCTGGTCGCGAGCGAGGAATGCATAGTTGTTGTAGGCGGTGGGTCGTAGCTAAGATCGATCACTGCTAGATCCTGTTCATCAGAGGATCGAGCAAGCGTTGTTTTTGTCCACCTCTGTGCACGTCGAGGATACGATACTCGAACTTGAACCAAGTCCACTCGGCTTTTCGTTTCTTCCTTCGTCACATTACACCGGATGGACGTCGTTCACGAAGGAGCGTGATCGTTCAACGGCGGTGGTTTGACATTTGCTCCCAGACGGGTCGCAAGATCGACAAGAGGGTTCGATCAGCGTAGCTCGCTGCGTTGTGTACCCGTTTGCTGGCCACGTTGCACCGGCTGCGATCGCACGTGAGCACGCACGCGCGGATGGTCTTGGCTGCGTGCGTGGGTGGCGGATACGGAAAGAGAGAGTGACCGTGCACACGTCCGTGCGGAATCGCTCGACGAGTCTTTTTCTCGGACGCGCGCCTCGCCAGGGCAATCGAACGAAAAAACTCCAACGGGTGGAATTATTGTTACTTTCAAATTTGTTTTTCTTTTTTTTTTTTTTCTTTTTTCTTTTTTTTGGGGGGAGTTTCGAGAAGTTAAATCGTTAAAGAAATTAAGTTGAGCAGGTTCAATTCGTTTCGCTTGGCAAACGGCAGTGTAACTGGATATGTATGCGATCTTAACAGTCGTTTACCTTGCCAATTAGAAGATAGAAATTAGAGGGATCGGGAGAGGGTGGTCGACGACACGGAACACGCTCGGAACACCTCAACACCAGATTTTTCCCTTAACTCGCGTTGCACACGTTCGAGTTACACTCGGGATCCGGTGTAACGAACCGGACTCTGCCTCGTACGAGAGAGTATCACTTCACAATCACGTTATTCACAATTCGATTCTGACGAATCTTTTCCGGGCCACTCGTATATATACGTGTATGTATACGTGCGCAAATCGACACTAGATTGCGTTTAATGAATTCACTTTCCAGCAATCAGATCAATGAAACTTTGTTAGCGAGATTTTGATCGGCCGAATCGACGTACAGTCGGTATTTTCTCACCGAGATCATGTTCACTCTCGGTTCTACGAAGCTCTCGAGATTATTTCTTTCGTTGTATCCGTTTGACTAGGCTAAACGATTTTTGACGATTTTTTTTTTTTTTTTTTGAAAAATTTTTATTTTTATGTTTTGAAAATCCTTCGACTTCGGCGAAAAAGTTTCAATTATTTTCGTTATCGTGTCAACGATCCCTTCCTTCTCGCTTCTTCGAGCATCACTTCACCCGGAGGAAGCAACTTCAATTCGCAGATAATTAACGCGACGTCTGCTCGCGGGTTTGTTATTCTATCGTCGCCTCGCGTCAAGGGATTCTAGCAGCGACCTAACCTAAGGCACCTCGAGGTGCCTCGTACCACGTCGGTGACACACTTTCTCCGTCTGTCCTCTCAACAGAGCCGCTTCAAGTAGCCTTCAACCTCCACTCCGGTCGATTCCTCGGTGTCACCTCTTTCTTTCTTTCTTTCTTCCGTCTACGATCCGCCTCCTATTGGCGATCACCAGCCAGCGGTCGCCAATTAGCCGACGTTTCCCCTCAGGGTCACGAGAGATTGCACCACCGAAAGGGAATCATTCGACCTCGAGCACCCGGTGTGTCGAGGATTCCTCGAAATTTTGTCGTCGACTACCTGACACGACCTCGACCTCCTCCTGATACACACGTTAACACGAGCACTTTCACCACGCACTGTACGCAGTTGCAGCAGTAGCGGAACCTGTCACGACCATTCGCGTACACACACGCTTCTCCGTTTACGCGCAGAGTATCCTACCCGAGTCGTCACGCGGACTGGTGGTACTCTGCGTCGAGAATTCTCTCTCTCTTTCTCTCTCTTTCTGATCGTGTCCTCGATGTCGTGGGTTCTTCTCTCCAAGAAGACAAACAAAGATACACACACAAGTGACAGAAATCTTGGCCTGATAACCCCAAACACCGCCACGATCCACCGCACTATGGCGCGAGTATTTCCGCGAGCACCGAAAATTGCGTGTACCGGTGGTGGCCAGGCTACCACGTCCCGTACGGTTTCCACTCTCGAGAAAGGTTACTCCACGTCGTCGTCCATCCAGCGTACGTTTATTTCGCGATCGATCCGGCTCTCGTGGCTCGGCGTACGCCCCATTTTTCTCGTCCAACCCTGTGCTGAGTTCTACTGGTGGCGAGCCGCGCACATTGCACACGAGCCACGGGCGGCTATCAGCACGGCACACATCCGCGTCGTCAGTTGAAAACTCGTCAGCGAGTCGGGGCAACGTCGTTGCGCGATGGTCGACGGGGTTCGTGGGTTCCGACGATGATACGTTTTGGTCAGGATATGTACGTGTGTTGTAAAAGCGTAGCGTGAGCGCCGTATGCGGAGGTGGATCAACCCTCTCGACGGCTCCCGGCTTGATACTGGCCTAGCGAGAGGAGAACGCTCGGTCGAGACGGTCGGTCGGTTGGCCGACGACGTTGGTGCGACGCCCCCGGCACGACGCCGACGCCTCGCGCCGTTTCCACGCGCAAGCGCCCCGCTCAGACGCGGAACGAACAAACGCAGCGGCCTCGGTGCGACGAACGTCGTCCACCGTCGAACGATTCGCGCTGAAGGAGGACGAGGCGAACCGCTTTCGAAGATGTGGCCGAGAGAGGATCCCTCGTCGTGTAGTCTCTCTCTCTCTCTCTCTCTCTCTCTTTCTTTCTCTCTTTCTCTCTTCTGTGTTCAGGGATGTACGGCAAGGGTGCATCTCGCAGCGTGATTGCTCACGGCTACCTCTCTTCGAAGAGAAAAACTGCTGGCGACGAGATGCTCGCGTTGAAAAATTGCTGGGTGGATCGAGGAGCGTTTGTTGCTTCGCACGCGGATCGACCAGTCGATCTTTTGTACGACTTTGCCGATGGGTCAACGACTGTCTCGAGGATCTGTGTAACCACTGACGTCTTTCCGTTTCCGTTTCCGTTTCCGTTTCCGCGAAATGAGCAACGTCGATGGGGATCGTTTGACGAATAGGTTCGCATCGTTCGATGCGAGCGTCGATGATGGAACTTGAGTTGTACCCGAGGCTTTGAAATATGTTTTATTATAATTGTAGTATTGTAGGTGGTCATTGTTAAGTTGTTATATCTTTAATCGCACTAGATGGTAATGTTTGCTGTGATTGGAACGTAACGAAGTACAATTAAATAGTGTGAAGTGATTTTATTGCAACAAGAACCAAGTAGCTTGTTGCAATAGCGTTTGAAGAGAGAAATAGTTTGATAGCTATGGGGCGTCGTGTGGCCATTCGAGATCAGCCGAAAGAAATGGTGGACATCAAATTTTACGATGAACTATTCCAATGCCCGAGCATTCGTTCGTGAAATGTTCTCGGAGAAAAACAATGTCGTGTAACAACGTCGAATCGTTGAATCGCAATCGGATGCGGTTGCATCAACGTGACACGAGTTTTTAAACATAAGCTCAATGCTCAAATTTTAAAATGAATAACGACCATTTGAAACGCTTCCAGCTGGATTAAAAGCACCTTTTTCAGCGCGCGTGACGCTTTTAAAGCGAAAATGGCATCTATAAAAAATGACGGCCGTAAATAACAACGGTCGTGTGAAAATTTTGTCATTATGCAGTTGACATCTTTCCGATTGAACGTGTATTCGTACGAATGAAACAGAAACAAAAGGGGGATGTACTCTCATAATTTGAAATTGGAAAACGTAATAAACGTTTGAATGTAATTTCGTTAATTAATCACAATTGAACGGTTAGGGAAACTCGTGTGGGTAATTTGTGGAACAGGCAGTTGCGAATTGTATAAAAATATGAAATGTGGAACATGAGTATTGCACAAAGTCGAACGAAAATAGGAATACAATTAAATAAAAATTAAATGTAATGTATGTGAAACGTGGAATATTATTTTTATTACAGTTTTTTTTAATTTTTCCGAATAAAATTGTAGGAAAAGAAAGATATTTACTTTGACGCACAGCGGAAAATAGTAAAAATAATGAATTATTGTGCGAAAACTGTCGAAATAAGTTTACTGAGGTGACATTATTTCCGCAGTGTCGTGTACAATGCGTATGAAGAATTCAAAATTCCTGAGCGGTTGGTCTCTGGCGAACCTTAAAACTTGCCTCGATTTTTATTGCGTTTGAAATTTATCGCGTGTTGATATTGAGTGTCGCTTGAATTCCAGTTTCTCCGCCGTAGAGATACTTTCAACGCGAGCGTTCTTCTTAAAATTCGAACACAAGGGGACAAGTCGTTTGTAAAATATCGATGCTCGTGAATTTTAGATCCACAATTGAACCGTTCCGAGAAACCTTTCTCTTTAAAGCGCCCGAGTTTCTTTGCTTTTGAAATGTCGACGGCTTCAGCCAATGCGTCAATACGTTTACTCGTTATTTCACTCGATGCAACGTAAAATGTAACATGCATGTAACATAATTAAAGACGACACGTGATATTATTGACACGTTCGACTCAAAGTCGAAATAATTAACGATCTTGGCACAAAGTACCAAGAAGACCAGGCGAAACTCTTCTCGAAAACGAAACCGAGAGGCGAAAGAATTCTTTCTTTGAATCGGATCGGCGAGCCAATCGCTGCACGTGGATCGCCGCGTTACTAGCCGCAAATCGCTGCAACGACCAATAACCCGACAGCGAGGGTACCGTCCGCGCGATCGATTCATCGGACATGCGACAAACGCGCGAATTCAATTAATTCCCGCAAGGCAAGCATCGAAATAATGATGACGAATCCGCGTGCAGGGGCACGTCGTTGGAAGGACCACACACCGTCGGCCGAAACCGTGTGTGTGTGTGTACGAGGCTGAAACGAAGTGGAAAACCAAGCAGTCGAGGAAAGAGGGTGGAGAGAAGACGCGGAAGATGGAAGAGCTGGTTAGAGGGAGGATAGAAAGAGAGAGAGAGAGAGACAGAGTAAGAGCAATGCGGACCAAAGTGTCCGAATAAGAGTGGTTAGACAAAGGGAAAAGGCCGCAGAGGAGGCAGGTGGTGCAAAGGTGGTGTTCGAGGCGAGTAGAAGGATGGCGGGTGTCTGGCAGAAGGTGGAAACCACCACCGGCAGAACGGCGAGGCAATGCTGAGAAAGCATGGCACAAGCCCGTGAAAGGCAGCGATCCGCGAGAACGATACAACACGAACGTCCAAGATGGCTAACGTCGTTCTTTCCCTTCTTCTTCCCTGCCCGCTGCACACTCTCTTCAGTCTTTTATGGCTGGGGGAGTGGATCCACGCTGAGAAGAGGATTGAGTATCAGGCAAAGAGAGAGAGAGAGAGAGAGAGAGGGAGGAAGAGAGACATTTTCCTGAGATATCGTTGACACTTGGTCGTCAGGGATCGGGGGTTAATTAGAGGACTTGCACGTCTAATAAAGAGCGAGGTTGTTCGATGGAGAGAACTTTTCACCAAGGAGGGCCAAATTTTAACAAAAATGGCAAGTTTCTATCTCGATTTTGGTATTCGAGGAAAGCGGGACTTTCGTGTGTTTAATTTTCTGCTAGTTGCAAAGCAGCCTACTTATAGCTATAATTGAATTGAGACTTTTAATTGCTGGCGGTTGGTTGTTTTAGAAAATTTTCAGTTTGTTAAAGCGTCCTGTATTTGAAGTAATTAGATCAGTTATGCGAAATCTGTTTAATTCGCGTTTAATGTTACCAGCGAATGTATTTGGCAGATACGTTCTAGTTGGAGGAAAGTGATCATAAATTCTGCGTCGATTAAACTTCTTTCAGTAAACGTCATAAATAATCTAATAATAATTTTATCTCTAATATAATTATTCTACCGATCGTCACTATTGTTAGTTCCTTTTGAATCAAAAATGTTAGTTTCTCGTCATTGGAAAATTTTCGTCAAGAATTGCTTTGAAATTTCAGAAAACCACGAACGATAAACTTGAAAATTGTCGAAACTTTTTAGAAGTTGTATCTCAGCTTGTTGTCTGATATTTTGCCTCCCCGCTGTATTTAAACACTTCGACTCGATCGTGTCACAATATATTAACAATTTCGCACAAAGTCCAAAGACTCTCATAAACATCTGTCTTCAACTCTTGGCGCAGTTTGAACCGCGAGCTTCTCCCAATAGACTAACCACCAGCGTCAACTACCTTCAGCGGCTTTCAACTATCTTCAGCGGACCATCGTCGACTTTAACGAACTCTAACCGAGTTTCATCGACTAACTTCTCCACTTTAGCTGCGTTTCACTTTTGATTCATCACGTGTGCATCGTGCATTCCTGTCGTCTGTCTCTTGACTAAAAAAAGTTTGGTGAAATCCATAAACTCGTCGCGACACAGTCAAACAGTTTTAGCTTTTCGATACCTTGAATATTCGATGCTCGGATATTTGGTCGGATTTCGGTTTCTCAACTCGTCTTGACGATTAGAACGTTAAATGAAAATACGTTGGATTATATTTCAAAATTTCTGTTCTGGGACTTCTTTCAGTGTAAAATCTGTACCTCGAGAAATTAACCTGTACCGTGTCACGCAACGATTACGAGCCTTTTCACAAACTTCGAAAACTAACCGAAAGTCGAGAAGTTACCTTCGAGTATTTAATTACAGAGAAACGAGAATTTCGCTGAATTCTTTATACTTTCGCCTGCTTCTACACCTGCCATTTGCTCGAGCAAGTTTTCCTACCTCTGCTAATTACCGTGGACCATCAATGACCCACGGCGGTACTTTCACTCATTTCGCTCTTTTCTAAACGATCATCGTTAGCGCCCAACTTCCAAAAACTTCTCCCCTTCTCGTAAAAAAAGGTTCCTGTATTTACGAATAATTACGTTCCCCTTCTGCATCTCGGGGGTTTCGAAACATATTCAAATATTTATACTGTCAGCATAAGCTCTGAACCAGGTTATCAGGAGCTAAAAGCTTGCGAAATAAGAATCTATTGGCGCAAGTTTAACCCGGTTACTATTTCTTTCTCTCCGCGGTAGTGTTTCTTTCGGCGCGAAGATGATTAAAATTTCATTTAAATTTCAGCTCTTAAAGTTCGAATGCTCGCGTGTAATATATATGTATTTAAATCATTTATTTTTGAGATAATTAAAATTATTAAAATTAATTAATAAACCCTGTAATTATATAAAATACATATTACTTCTCAATAATTTCTGTCCAGTGATATGCCGAACGGGCATTCTTTCAAAAAAAAAAAAGGCGACGAATTATTGTATACGGTTTGGTCACTCGTTATGGTCCGCAATCAGTTGTCAGCGCAATCGGTTAAAATTCTTACTCGCTAATGAGATACCTCGTTTCTCCAAATTTAAATGCTCCAACTCGTGAGAATCGTACGCCAGCCAACCGGTAATTTTATAAAATCTGAGAACAACTGTGCTCGCGGACACGAGGGAACCGCTAAGCCTCGCAAACGCGCAAGAAACGGTAAGAAAATAACGTTAGACCGTAT